TGTCAATGAATCTTCTCTCTCAAAGTTTATCGTGATACAAGTGTGTCGATTGATACATGTCAATTAGCAGACACTAAGCAGAGACTATGTTTAAAGCATTGTTCTGATAGGCCTTGGTAGGCATATGGAAATAAGTAACTGCCTTGCTGTCTGTAATTTATAGTGTAATAAGAGAGCTAAAATTAATACACAAATCATTCTAGCTTAGAGAAAATAAGAACACTATGGGGGATCAAAGGAGGGAGAAATATCTGTTGAAAAGATATCAGGAAAGGTTTTTGCTGTGGAACACTTGGTAAATGTGCCTGAAAGAATAGTTTTGTCATTCTTAGAGCAATTGCCATTATCAGGTTTGCTGCTAGGAACAATGCGTATTCTGACAATTTTAGAAAAGCCATTTATTTTCTTCATCATCACATAGTATATTATCTTTTGTTTGTGTCAAAACTGTGAAGGGTCTGAAATTTTACCTCATATTTAAGACAAGTTAGCCTGTCACAGTTTCCTAGATTCTGTCAGAAAACATTAGACTCCTGGGTCAGAGACAAAGGACTCTATTACCCAGGCACAGCAGGCTGCAAGAGCTTCATGTTTCCATCAGTTTCCTTGCCCCTAAGTCCCACAGAGGGTGATGCATAGCAGCCTCAGAAGACTGCACACACGGTGGATAAGTGTTGTATTTGAGGAACCTAAAGCTTAGAAAAACCTGAGTCTTATAAGGGAGCTATTAGCAAATGTGTCCATCCTTTGACACCAGAGAGAGACATTATCTATTATCTTGGTCAAGAAATAAATCTTCCATTTCCCCTGGAAAGAGATTCTCATTTCTATTTTGTTTGATTATTAATTTATTTACTCATTCATTTGTTCTTTCATTTTGTGGTCCTGGGGATAGAACCCAGGGCCTTGCACATGTCAGAAAAATTCACTGAGCTACTTTTCAAATAGTCTGGACTAAAGGCTGTCAAAAGATGCACAGAAATACTGTAGTTTACCTGACAATAATCTTTATGAAACTGTGGTTTAAGAATGTATAGGATGGGGCTGGGGCTGGGGCTCAGTGGTAGAGCGCTTGCCTAGCATGTGTGAGGCACTGGGTTTAATTCTCAGTACCACATATAAATAAATGAATAAAATAAAGGTCCATCCACTTCTAAAGACTATATAGGATATTGGGCTGGGGCTTTGACTCAGCGGTCTAGTGCTCTCCTAGCATGTAAGAGGCCCTGGGTTTGATCCTCATTACCACATAACAATAAATAAAATAAAGGTATTGTGTCCAACTACAACTCAACATAAATATTTTTTTAAGGTATATAGGATATCATGGCCTAGAAATAGAGTTTAAAGAAGTCATCATTTTAAATAATGAAAAAATGAATAAGAAGGTATGCTAATAATTTAAAAACAAGATCCCTGTTGACATAAGTATATTAAGAAAATAATGTATTATTCTTAATTATGGATGAGGTATTCTCTAATGCATTCATGTTGATAGTAAATAAATCATGAAAATCTTTCCAGTAGCAGATGATCCTAAAATGAATTTACATTTTGTTTTATATGTAAAGTCTATATATACATGTACATATTCTTAAATACCCATTTGAATAATTTATGCATCTATAATAAAATCATAATTCCCAAATCAAATTGAATCTCAACGTTGAATGGATCTTAGAAATATCTGAGAAAAATCTAACCCCCAGAGTAATCATTTTTCCCCCCAAAATAGTAGGTCAGGTAAAGTCTAAAGTATCTGTAGCTTTCATTTCCACTATCCATACTCTCCTCAGGTTCAGGCAAAGCTGTGACCTAAACTGACATTGATATATTAATATGATATTTTTCCTAAATCATATATGATCCATTGAGGGATTCACTGATAAAATTAAGAACATATACTTTAGGAGTTTTATTTTTAGTTTTTTTTTTAATAGTGTTTATTTTATATCCCTGTTTTTATCTTTTGTATTTGTTCCTGTGTGACAACATACAAAAATGCATATGCTTTCACTTAAAAGTTACATGCTATACTATGAAAGCTAAAGAGCAACTGATGCTGAACATCCTTAGCAGAAAGCTCTTTGGGACTCAGTGCAGTAACAAGAACATCAGAATACCTAAGAACACTTTATACCTATGATCCAAACCACAGAGTGCTTATTGCTATGATTAAAAAATCTAAATCATATAACAATTATTATAATAAATTGCCACTAGATATTCCCATTGGTACTCATGTGGCATCACTTGTATTTGTTGGTAAGTGATGAACCTCTTCCATGTCTGGATAATGTCTTATCTGATGTTTCATGGGGCATGGCTAAAAAAACAAACAAAACCCTTAAATTTTGAACATATTTGAGATTCAAACATAAACATCAAATTTCAAAACCTAAAATGTTTACAGGGATGAGTTGCATAATAATAATTAAAAAAAAAACCCTGAAGCCAGTCGGGGAGTACATGACCCATTGAAAGAAGAGTTCAGATGTTAATTCCAGTGGAACACTATCTCACAAGCATGCATATACCCAGTGTGGCTTGTCTTTAAAATTTGTAAAGAGAAACCAAAGATCTGGATTTACACACAGGATTTCTCCTTTTTGAATGTTGGACCCTGAAAATAGCTTGCTCATTAAATAAAAATGAACTTCATTCAGCAACAATATTTAGTTTGATAACCAGAACATTTTCCCATGCTGACAGAGCACAGAATGGGATGATAATGGGTATAGGGAGAGAACACTTACGAGAACTTACAGGAACAAACTGCCAAAGATGGAAAAAAATCTGGCCTACCAGTGAGGGCTAGAAGTAGGGTCTATCAATAATAAACATTGTGTAGTAATAGGCTCTACCTGAATCCTTCTTAACAAAGACTCCTAAAGATTCTTAAGCTTCCTAAGGAGGAAGAAGATGTATGTAAAAATATGAATAATAATTTGAGAGGTCCATGCTACTTAGCTAAGGCATTTCTACTCCTTTCACCATAATGATAACTTGACAGCATAAGGGTGATCGCCTACAAAAAGGTGAGGGAACCAAAGAAATTGTGATCTAGCCCTGCTTTATTGGAAATAATGAAAATCAAACAAAAAATCCCAAACAAGACCTATTGTGTTCTGTTGAGAATCAGAATCCTTCAAAGATAAAGTCCATCATGATCTGACCAGCAGAGTCCACAAAAATGACACATTAGGTTTGCTCCCATGGAATTCTGAGGTGAACACAAGAAAGGAGGCAGACTGAGTATTTCATTTTAGTGGGACAGGGAGATTGACCTAGCACATGTGGAGATAAACTATTAGCTAGGAGGCTTAAGTTCTCAAGGTAGGAGAGATGTCTGGGAACCTACCAGTTGCTACAGTTACTCAAATGGATCAGAATCCTTGGTTTCCACCTATACATCTATGGTTTCATTAGATTGCATGGAATAATAGGCTTTTTTAAAAATGAAGCTTCCTAGATAATACCATCTCTTTGATACATTTGATAATGATTATATTAGATATTGTATTTAAAATGCTTAGCACAAAATACTAGACAGTTGATAATGCCAAGTGAGGATGGGGGATATTGGATTGCTGGTATAGACATGCTGCCATTCTGGAGAGCATTCTGACACTACATTCGCAGATCAATGCATGCTTACCCAATAACTCAGTAATTTCTCTCCTGGTTATACATACTAATGATATTCTTAAACAGATCCCAAGGAAGCATTTGCAAATAGGTAAATTGTTGATGTGGTAGAGAGTTGGAGGCCATCTGGGCATTCATCCCTGGGAGAGTAGATTAAGAAAATGAGTGAGATACATCCCTGGTCATTACAAAACAATCAGAAACAACAGACCACCTGGGTACAGAAACCTATCAAGTGGTCTTTGAAACATAGTTCTTAGTGAAGAAGATGAGTAAAGATAAGATATAAAATTCAATGCCATTTACATAAAATAGAAACTTATGCACAAAAGCAATAGTATATCCTTATAAAAATGTATGCAAACAAATAAAAATATACCCAGTAGGAAGATACAACATTTGTCTCCTGGAGGAGGGATGAAAGTAGAATGGAGATGGTTGAAAGAGACAGAAATAAACAGTTAAAATAAGAAAGAGGCCTTTCAAGACCAATGATGATAGTGAGCCATGAATTGAGTACTATAACAAACCTCTGCACAGACATTTATAAAGCAAAATACAAAAAGAAAATTATTAGCACAATGTCTGGCATATAGAATGATTGATTCTATAGTTTAAGCAAAAAGAGGGGAAAAGGAGTCTGAGAAAAGAAAATAACAAAGAAAATTATTTCTTTAAAGATAAATATCACAGAAATCTGTCTAATAAGTTCTAATGGATTTCTGCTTGTGATCTCAGCAGATTGCTAGCTATTGGTGGAGAAGAAAAAGACAGATTTGATACATTTTCTCTTTAAGAAGGAAGCCAACAAACTTGAAATGAAAACTTTCTGAAATCCAGTTGGAAACTGATAAATGGTGTTTTAAATAAGAATCAAAGATGTAGTGTGGTATATCAGCGGGTGATGCGTTATAAATTAGTATTTAAAGAGTCACTTTCAATCCTTTTGTGCAGCAAGGATTACTGAGAGTTCATTACACAATAGTTTCTGTGCTACATAGTAAAAATGCAGGAGGGTACAGGAGAAAGACTGGAAAGCAGAAGTTTTGACAGGTTAAACACAGGGAAGGGCTGGTTGAAGGGTGACCAGACTTACAGGTCTGAGGCTTTGAAAAGTTTATGGTATGTGTGTGTTGGTGGGGAGGGAAGAGAGGGTAGGATGAAGTAAAAGCTCATAGATAAGTTTCTTATTATGCAAATAATTATGTGAAGATGATAAAATCTCATTTTATCTTCTGAGAAAACAGAGGAAAATAGAAACATATTGAATTGTAGAAGAAAATGAAATGGTTTTTCAGTGTGGTTTATTTTTATATTTAGATACCATAATAGTAAATTATCTTCTCTTTCAGATACACTGGCCTACTACAGCAGTAAAAATAGAAGAATGCATAATGAAAGGAAAAGATGCAGTAAGTATTATTCATTGTAAATTACACAAATTGTCAATTATGTTCCTGATCAAGCCCAAAGGAAGGACTGAATCATTTAACTTTTATTTGGTCTTGAAAAATACAGATGCAATGTAGTTCATGCAGGAAAATATAAATACATACATACAGTAAACTTACAATTATATAAAAGATAATTTCAATATAGAGTTTAAAGAAACTGAGCTGCCATCCAGATCTGAACTTTTATTTTATTTATTGATTTATTTATTTTAAGATGGACACAGTGAGTTTATTTATTTATTTTTATTCGGTGCTGAGGATCAAACCCAGTTCCTCACATGTGCTAGGTAAGCACTCTACCTTTGAGCCACTACCCCAGCCCTGTGGAAAGGGAAATGCTGTTTACAACGTCTTTCCTGACACATGGCAACAAAAGGCCTCAGGTGTTAGGAGGGGGTGATTGATGTAATGTAATGCTCATCTGGGAGGAAGGCCTGCATATTTCTCTCTGAAAGTAAATTCATCCTTACTAGGAAAAGAAAATGCCATGTAAATGACTAACACATATTACTTCAATTTCTAATTCTCTGTAGCAACTGGGTCATAGCCAAGGACTGAGTCAACACATTCTTGCAGCCTTAGCCCACAGCATGATGCTGACTAATTGAACATACTCCTAGGCCATGTCAATCTAAGCTCAACTGAGCCAAAATGCGTCCTAATTGGCTCACTCTTTAAGAGGTGACAGTGTCAACAGAAGAGAAGCAAGTACTTACAGAAATCTCAGGATAGAATATTTTCCTCTTGCCTGAAAGACTAGATTCTATCACTAATATGGCTTACCCATAGAATAAAATGTTGTTAAGAGTGGGAAATTAAATAAATATATCTGTGCCCTGGATAATTAATTCAGTTCCTTATTCTTTTAAAGGATATTATGTCATATGGATCTCTTATGGTAAAATGGATCTTCTTGTCTTTCCATCCTAATATTGTTATATGAGACATTCAAGTGTTGAAATCACAATCTGTCCTTACAAAATATTACATTTAATGATAACCACAGTGGGCTTGGAATATAGCTCAGTTGGTAGAGTGCTTGTCTTGCATGCACAAGGCCCTGGGTTCAATCTCTAGAAACACACACACACACAAATGATGATTGCATATAATGATTATCAAAGTAATATTTGCCATTCAAAGAGTTTACTACTTCTTTCATAATTTATGTATTTATTTAATTATTTCTTTTGGTACTGGGGGTTAAACTCAGGGACACTTGACCACTGAGTCACATCCCCAGCCCTATTTTGTATTTTATTTAGAGACAGGGTCTCACTGAGTTGCTTAGAACCTCGCTTGTGCTGAGGCTGGCTGTGAACTCTTAATCCTCCTGCCTCAGCCTCTCATAATTTATTTTTAATGAAACAGTAATACCTAATTTTCCAACAGGGTATTTGAATTAATTAGCCAGTTGGTTTTGAAACAATTCTAAACATTTTTTTCACTCAACATCTTAGTCATAAAACTCCACTAGTAACTAATGTATTAAAGTGTATTCAAGCACATATTGTATACTAGATACTGTGTTTGATTTACTGGGAAATGCAATGATATGTAAAATAAGGTTTCTGTTCTCAAGAAGCTTACATTTAAAACCAGTGTTACAAAACTGAAGCTTCTGGACCAAATACAGCCTGTGGTTGGTATTTCTGAGTTTTATTAGGAGCATTGACACACATGTGCATTTTTGTTTTGCTGCTTTCATGCTATAGCTGCATGTATTCGCAACAGAGGTCAGAAGGCCCACCAAAGGAAATGTTTACAGCCTGATCCTTAATAGAAAAAACTTGTTGAAACTTGGATTATAATCTCACAGCAATAGTAATCTTAGGAGATAACCTTAAAAGTGAGATGTTATTTCTGTTGGTTAGTCTTCTATTTACTTGAAAATTCTCTTAGAAATGCTTTATATGAATACGTGGATTTGAGGGTATAAGTTATATTTTCCCAGATATCAAAATTCTGAAATGCCCTACAGTCTGTTTATATTTCTCTCTGAATAATGAAGCCGTCTCTAATTATTTGTTTTTTAACCTTGTGTTGATTCATTGTTTATGGTATACTTAAAAATAATAGCATTGAGAATAACTTAATTACATAGAGGAACATATTGCCATGCAAATTTTTATGCCTGAATACATATCTAAGCAGTGCATTTTAAAAAACACTCATTCATGATCTAAAATACATGAAAAATGCTTTGTTCTCATTGTAAAATGGAATTCACACTTCTCTGCTAAAATGTGTGTCACCCTGGTTTCTTCCTTTATCTTTTTCTTATCTGCTTCCTTTGACCATCCACTGAAGGCAACTTATGGTGAAATAGGAGGTGGAATAAAGGGCTAGGGAAAATAAAAATTAAAAAAAATGGCTAAACATTTCTATTACACTAATCAATTTATTTCATTTTGATTCCGCTTTAGAATGAATGTGCAAATTATGTTCGGGTTTTACATCATTATAATAGGACGCACCTTCTGACCTGTGGTACTGGAGCTTTTGACCCACTTTGTGCCTTCATCAGAGTTGGATACCATTTGGAGGTAAGATAGTTTCATTCACTGCCATCAATAAAAGTGATACTTAAAATAACTTCAATTTAAAACAAAAATTGTAGTAGTTCTTCCCAAGAAAGATAGAAACAGTAAAAATGTACTGACTTGGTTTGCTCCAGACAGAGAAATGATCTCTGGACCTTTAAAACCTATATCATCTATAAACCTGTGACCTGATTAATTCTTGTCATATTCATTTACTGAACGATTTTTAACATTTTTTAATATTTATTTTTTAGTTGTAGTTGGACACAACACCTTTATTTTATTTATTTTTATGTGGTGCTGAGGATTGAACCCAGTGCCTTCCACATGATAGGCGAGTGCTCTACCACTGAGCCGCTACCCCAGCCCTCTATTGTGTTCTTATGTGTATTTTTATTAACTTATCCATGAAACTGGAATATATGTGTGTATATATAAATAGAGATAAATACAGATATATGTACTGTTTTAATTAGCTTCTGCATTGCCATGATCAAGTCTTAAAAAGAAGAATTTAAAGGAGGAAAACTTTATTTTGGCTCATGGTTTCAGAGATTCAGTCCACAGTCACTGACTCCAAGGTGAGGTAGACCATCATGGACGTGTGTGTGGTGGAAGAAAGCAGCTTAGATCATGGCAACCAGGAAGGAGAGAGAGAGAGAGAGAGAGAGAGAGAGAGAGAGAGAGAGAGAGAGAGAGATTTGCTCACAAAGGCCAAAATATAAATGCCCCAAATACCCTCAGTGATCTATTCCTCCAGCCACACCCTATCTGCTATAGTTACCCCATTGTTAATCCATATCAGTGGATTGATCTACTGACTAGGTGACATACCTCATAATTTAATAATTTGCCTCTGAATGTCCTTTCATTGTATCATACATACACAAGCTTTTGGAGAACACTGCATATCTAAACCATAACAGATACACACAAACATTCACACATATAATTTATATAAATAAATTTTACATTAGTATTTTACAAATGACATGCAAAGATTTGTTGATTCTGTAACTACTTTTTCCTAGACAGGTGAGTTGGGGAGGAGAGAAGAGGGCAGGATTTCAAGCTGACTTAAGATATATGTTAGTGGGAGAAAGATGTACATTTTTTTCCCTGAGTCCCTAATACTAGGTGATATGGTATGAAATGGGAATGAAAGTAAATTTCAACCGACTTTGACCACTCATGTAACATTTACTCACAAGCAGGCTCAAAGACTAGTCATGGAGTCTGTTTCTACAAGCTGGGTGGAGTCTTTGCTCTTACTCATTTTTACCCTTTGAAGCATTGCAATGACCATTTTACCCTGAAGTATATGAAACAGTATTTCACTCTCAGGAATCGTTATTTTTCTTTTTAGTTAGAATCATAATCCTACATTAAGATGGGCACAGATAAAATAGTGCTCTAGATATTCTATAGACAAATAGCTCTTGATACACATACTCCATTTATGAAGAGGCAGCAGTGACTATAGAATATATTTATAATAAACATATAGAGAAAACACCATTCATTATACCACTAAAAATTATTTCTGAAATTTCTTATGCTAGTTAGTGCTCAGGTACAAATATAATTAGTCATATCAAAGTACTTAATAGCTGCCTTTGGAGAGTGCCACTAATTGAGGTATTTCAGCTGTTATCTACCCTTATAGGGAGGATTTTTAATTAAGATATTTTAAATGTTAACTTGCTGCCCTACATGATTAAAGTTCAGTAGCACACATAAATGCATCACAGTGTATTTTAAAGAAATGCAAAGAATATAATAGGAGAAATTTTGAAGGAGACGCAGAAGGCAAATCAGGTTAGTGCAAGATCAGATTATATCCAAGTATATATACAAATGTACAAAGTTAGAATGTATACATGGTGTGGCATAGAACTGCTAACAACAATTCTTTCAGTTTTCATTTTTGTGAAAGATCTTTATTTTTAAAGAATATTTTCTCTGGATATAGAACTCTGGCTTAATAGTTATATTTTTTTCTTTTAACCTTTTAAAAATGTTTTATTGTATTTTAACCTTGTTTCAAATGTAAATTAATGTATCATTCATATTGATGTTATCCTATTTATAATTATTTTGTCTTTCAAATTTTGTTTTTCATCAGTTTTTCTATAGTGTGATTTTGTATGTAGAGGTGGTAGGGGAAACTGTATAGTTTTTAGGCTACCAATGTTCTTGAATGCATAAGTTCATGTTTTATAAGTTTTCATCCATTATTTCTTTAAATAACTTTCTGCTTTATTCACTCACTCTTTGCTCTCCATATACACATACACACACACACATATATGTGTGTGTGTGTATGGAGAGCATATATATATATGTGTATGTGTATATATATACACACACACGTTTATATATATATTCAATATGCATATTGAATATGTACGTATATTGAATATGTACATACATATTTGTTAGTTTTCTAGGCATTGTCCCACAGATAATTCATTTCTATTTTTTTCTGTGCTTATATCTCCAATATGCTGTAAAGTTAAACTCATTAATGTTCCATACACACATTATACTTTTCTGTTCCAGAACTTTCATTTTTTGTAGTTTTCATTTTTATACTTCATCATATTTTTGTTCATTATGATTCTATTTTCCTTAAAGTTCTTGAATATGTTTTGTATAGGACTTTTAAAGTCCTTGTATGCTAATTCTACTTTCTGATCATTTAAGATCAGTTTAGTTTTTCTTTTTTCTCTCAACTATGATTTTTTGTGTTTCTTTGCACATATAGTAATTTTCATTGTATACTTGATATTATAGATTATATGTTTTCAGGATTCTGTTATATTTTTAAGAGGGTTAATTTTTGTTCTAGAAGCTCCATATTTGACTGGACTCGACTGGACTTCCCTTGCAATGGGAAGATGCCAGTTTTCTCAATTTTCCAGTCACAACTTTTATGGTCTGTTTCCATCTGTAGTTCAGGCATCTATCAATGATTTGGGAGATACTTTATACACAGGTTTCAAGGTGCCTACTTTAGTTTCTAAATATATCCCCTTATTTTTCACTGATCATATACGTTATGTCTTGGATCTGTGACTGTAAAAGCTGATAAATCTGTAGCTTTCTACTGATAAATCTGTACTTTCTATGTGAGTTCTTGCCACATAAATGACAGAATATCCTCAACTGAACTACTGTCCAGTCTGTTCTTAACTAAACTCAAGCACCTTCAAATAGTTGGTTTTAAACTTCTTTAAAAAACATAGTTTGTCTCTGTCTATGGAAAAGTTAGTCCATACAAGGTGCATTACCATTAGCAGAACTGACACATGCATGATATTGAATATTTTGTCTCATATACTTACCTAAGTATTTAATGTAAGTGAAATAGTTGAGTCATCAGAATCTTTTAATATGATTGAATATTTTTAAACAATATTCAAATATTTAAAGGTGATCAAGATAATTTATAATATAATTATATAAATATCAAATATAATATATTTTGACAGATGTTACCTTTATGTCATAAGAGGAATTTGTGACCATACAATAAGAGCAGTTAAAAGATTTATTCCCAAAACACCATTTGGAGGCTTGATGTCATTTTACATGAGGGAATGAAACATTACAAATCATTATAGGCAAGGAAAATACTTTGATTAAAAAGCTCAGAGGCAATCATCTATGGATGGGCCTGCAGATATTTGTCTAGTTGCTTAGAGAACAGTGGGAGATAAATCTGGGACAAATTGGTGGAGGATTGTAATACTAGACAGTGGTATTTGAAAGTTATTTCTAAAGACAGTGTGGAGAACTTGAACAAGTTTTGAACAGAGTACTTGATTGACATGACATTAATAATATTTGGATTGATTCAAGCAGAGAAAGATGAAAGGCAGAAATTCAAGAAGGCTATTATAAGAGTCTCTATTAGAGAATATGAGGGTACTGAACATTGTCTTTGCAATAGCAAAGAAAAGGAAGCATGGAACTGAAGGAGAAGCTGCTTATCAAGCGAAATTATACACAGCATTTTATCACATATTGCAGATGAAAGGGAATTAAATTCAAATCTTATTTCATGTTAATTGGTAAGAGATGCAACCTTTAACAGCAAGAGGGAGCTGTGTAAACAGAGTAGGTTTTTATGAGAACATAACAATGCTTCATATTACTCAGTTTTAACTTTTTAATTTCCAGTTATTTGAAAGATTAAGTTGGGAGTTAGGAGAGGTTGTTATCAGAATGCATTGAGTTTTTGAAATCTGTGGGTAGGGGTGATGGTCTCTTCTGAGGAAATCTGTCTCCTCTGTCTTATTCCTCCTCTCACTTTCTTTTTCCTCCTGCTCACTTTCTCAAAATAACTTGGAAAATTCCATTATTTAGGTGCCGGTAGAATATCTGATATCAATGTAAACAGAGAATGAGAAGACGGAGATGTGTTAAAATCAAGTTAGCATGAATTCAGAATCACACTTGTGAAAGGAAAATAGTTTTAAGGCATTATCATCAGTGGTACAGAGAGGGCAGTTTAGTCAAGGTGATAGATAATAAGACAGGAGATGAAGAAGTAACCGAATAACCACAGTAATATTGTCTATTGTATTAAGAAATAAAATAATTAAGAAAAAGAAATATGGGGAAGTTTCAAGAGTAGTGAAAAATTATATTACTATGACAAAGAAAACTTATTTATCAAATGAGAAGGTAAGATTGCTTACCTTACTGGAGATAGGGAGGGCTGGGTGGAGAGCATATTTTCCAGGGAGAAGAACCATAGGATATTCAATGGAGAAATTTTGTTGACAGTTGGATATAAAATGCTATTTTTCAGGACAGAGGCCTGAACTGTAAGTGTGTATTTGATAATTTACTGTGTGCACCTGTGTGTATGTGCATGTACATCTGTGTGTGAAAGCTAAAATCTTCAGGCATAACATCATGCTTAAAAGGAGAATATGAGTAAAAAAGAGAAAAAAGAAATGTAGAGCCTGGGAATACCAATATTTGAGAGGCTG